AGTATCCTACTTATATCATAAATGCGAAAGTCTGTGAGGATGTATGGATGTTTGTTACTCTTTTACACAAAAACTACTGTATGGATTTTAATGAAACTTTACAATAATATAGCTCATATATTAGAATAATACATAGGCTACTTGTTATCCAAAAATGTACGGATCAAGTAGGATAGACTTGCTTTTGCTTATCTAGAAGCCAACCATTGTACATACATATTTACTAAATAATTTTGTAATCGACTTCTACGCTCTACGAATGTAGCGTTGAGACTAATTATGCATACATTTTCCGCTACGAGAGGCGTACATAATATTATGTTACAATGAAATGTCAGCGTAGCGTACGTTAATGCAAGTCATAATGCCTGAGAACGTTTGTAAATGAATTGTTTAACCGACTTCCAAAATGGAGTTTGTGTATTGTATGTTTGTTTGTCTCCAAATATTTTAACTAGTAAATAAATGCGTGAATATCATTATTATATGCAAATTATTATTATATTGAGATTCAGGTTTTTAGGGCAGTTCTGTTTTCTCTTTTACTAGGAAAGCCTTTGATATTTTAATTTTATTTTCAGTTAAATTCGAATTGCAAAGTGAATGAAGTGCCATTTCCAGCTATCAGTATCTGTAATTTCAACGTCGTTTCCCAAAAGCGGACTGAGATTATTACAAATATACTGTAAGTACATATTACAAATATATTACAAATGTTATCTTTTTAAGTAAGGAAAATATGTAAAAGATTCATCCATAGTTTATTTAAAAAAGGAGAAGAAACAGAAATAATATTTTAAGTATTTTTATCTAAAACAGGTACACGTAAAATAGGTACATTCTTGAAATTTATATGGAACCCTTGAAATATTACCTATTTATTGCAAAAAAATATGAAATCAATCAGGAAAAATGAAGATGTTTCTTAAAAGAAATATAAAAATTTATTCACAAACTGTGAGCATATGAAGTAATATATATGTAGGTACATAAAACAACAACCTATTTGAGTATCTATTCCTTTTTAAAGTCGGTAAAAAAAGTAATAACTACGCCAATATCTATCAGGATGTTACTGTATCAAAACTCTTAATCTAACACTCCTACAATTAATCTAAAATCTCACGATGTAATACTTTCTTAGATTTACGCGAATATTTGACATTTTAAATAAAACTATCTTTTCGGATTTTGTCGCGGATTTATTTGTATTTTTGTTTCCCGACGTTTCGAATGCTTTACAGCATCCATGGTCACGGGAGAGACTGAGGTGTTACATGTCTTAAAGATATAGTTGTTACAGACAGCCTACCCACAATTAACAAAATGTAAAGCATTCGAAACGTCGGGAAACAAAAATACAAATAAATCCGCGACAAAATCCGAAAAGATAGTTTTATTTAAAAAAAAAAATATCTCACGATGTCTTAATTATTTATACTGGCATAGGCTACATATTATAGTGACCAAGATAAATCACATATAAATATTTACATTTTCTTTTAATATTACCTCCTTCTGGTAGTCGAAAAAAAACATATCCAATCCATATTATCCATATCTATACTAATATTAAGCGAGGTCTTACATATCCTAAACAATTTTCTGAGAACACGTAATTAATATGACAACAGGAAAGTCACCTTATTTTACAAGCTTATTAAGTTTCACCTGTCCCGCTCTGTGTAATCAGATCTTGTACGTTAAATTCGATTAAATATCACCCAACAATTTATAACATTACATAATTTACATGATATACCTAAAGACTTGTCGCGAGATTTACCTGTGTAGATAAACAAAAATATAATAGATTCCCTGGCGGAGATCATGACATGGAGTCATGTGTCATATTGGTTCACTTCGATTTTTACTATCTCCATATTTTACTGTGCAGCATAAAATATCCTTATCTTTTAATAGATCCGTCCCTCGTCGTAGATCTTTGATGATATTTAAATGATATTCTTCACTCGCTCAAACACTTATTTACGTAGTAGTTTATCTAATATTATTTAGTTTTGCCTTAACAACTACCTATACCTACCTACCGGTAGTAGGGCTCTGTCAAGCCTGAGGAGTCCGACTGGATGGGTACTACCCCCTTATCTATTTATCCCGCCAAGCAACAATAATTGCATTGTTGTGTTCCGGTTTGAATGATAAGGTAGCCAGCGCAATTACAGGCAAGAGGCATATCATCTTAGTTCTCACGGTGATAACGTAGCGGCGGTTCTGCATTTTTTGTTACGTAAAACCTAAGTGTATGAACCGTAGGTATTATAGGCGACAGGTACCGCTTTCCATCAGGTGGTCTGTCTGTTCGTTAATCAATGAGCACCATAAAAAAAAAAACTTATATCAGAATTTGCTATTGAGATGGATTGCCTCATATCGTCCAATAAAAAGTAATTAAACTTCTTGCATTAATTTAGTTAAAATCGATTGATTGGACTATTCTTAAGTATCATTTTCCACCCTTCTTAACGTCCCACTGCTGGGCACGGAACTTCTCTCAATGCGAGAGGGAATAGGCCATATTCCACCACGCTGGCCAAATGCGGGTTAGCGGATTTAGAAAACTTGCTATGTCCCCTCAGATATGCAGGGTTCCTCACGATGTTTTCCTTCGCCGTAAGACTTTGATTGGTTGATTGATTGATTGGTGATCATGTTGTAAATGTTTAATATGCCGAGAAAAATTTCTATACATATAATAAAATTCTAACTGAGTCCAAACTGTACCAAAGTCTATGCCGAATCTATAATTTGTACAATTTTTGTCTGTCTGTCTGTCTGTCTGTGACCACATCACGAGAAAACCACTGGACAGATTTTGATGAAATTTTGTATGATGACTGCTTGTTATCCGGGTCGACATATAGGATACTTTTTAATGCGGGAAAATAATATCTCATCTCTGAGAAATCTATACTATCCGTTAAAACAGTCCCTAGTAGGGACGAACACGAGCGGAGAGAGGGTGAGTCGCTAGTAGGTACACAATAAATTAAAAACTAACTAATAACTATTACACTATTATTATAATATGTATTATTATGTGTGGGTATGTGTGTGCATTCTATTTATAAGTATTTTTTTTACAGTAAAAAATATAACAGAACTCAGCAAGAAATAGATTTATTTTATACACACTTACCAAAATTAACCCATTTTAGCAACATAAGTAATAGATCAAGCGCTATGACCTTTTATGAGATAATGAAAATTCTGAAGCATCATTATTTTACTGTAGAAACTATTATGGAGGAGGTGAGAGCTTGTTACGTGATACTAATTACCTCTTTAACATAAAGATGAAACCCGTTCTATAAATCACTGTAATACTAGCTGTTTTTGTTTAACTTTGTACCTAGCCATATACGTTGTTTTCCGCTAAATACTCGTATATCGTCGCATTAGTGCTTATTTGTTCAATCTACCTACGACTACTTTACAGTAGAGAGCTTTATTCTATTTAAAAAAAAAAGCTTTATCTCTACATTTACTTATCTACGAGTACATTTAAAGATAAAATACATTTATTCGGATTTCTTAGAGTAAAATGTATATTTAACACTAATAAAATGAAAATCTAAAAGTCAATAATTCGGCATTGAAAAGGCTTTCGGTTAGTTGGTCTTTTGGACAAATATGCACTGAAACGATGATTATTATGTATCTACGAGTATATAATATGTTGTTAAAATGGCATTTTCTACTTCAACGTAGGGTTCGGGTTTGATTTTTCTTTGAAACAATAGTTTGTATTGATTTTAACTACAAAAAATATTCACAAAAAATAATTTTGTTTAGAATTAACTTTACATATTTTTTACTTTCAAACTTAAATGTTTTAAAACTAATACCTTAATGAAAATAAATTAAAATGTTCATCACTAATTTTTATGGATTAATGATAAAAATATCACCGAAATGCTTTTCAAATCATCGCGAATTCGCTTACAATAACAATTTTTGGGAATAAATAAAATATGAATAATAAAAATGATACTATATTCCTTTGTATTTTGAAGCATTAGTTCTCTTTCCCTTGAAAGAGAGATACCATAATATTATGTTATATAAATATATTTTTTATTATAATAAAATGAGTTAGCTATTTTTCTAGTTAATAACATCACTCAGTATACAAATTGCCATTTGTATACTATTTTAAAACATTATTGTTTTGCTTCATGTTGAGTTCTATGTCACCGCTATGTTAAGACGATGGGGGCAACACTGGGTTTTAGTGGGTATTACTACTATGTCCAAGAGTCCCACAACTAATTCCCACAACTGACGACACGTTTGGCTCAGTTTGTAGTAACCCTGCTTGCTGTGCCAGCGGTTGCGGGTTCGAGTCCCGCTGGGGGCATTCATTTGTGTGATGAGCACGAATGTTTGTAATCCAGTCATGGGTGTTTATATTTATAATATGTATGTATTTAAAATTATATATATATAGTGTAACAACTATCTGGTATCCGTAAAACAGGCCTCGTAGCTTAGCATGGAACTAGATGGTGGTGTGTGTTAATGTCCCAAAATATTTATCATATTTATCATTATCAATTGCAATGGCGAAAGCACAAAAGGTCGGAAGCTCAAACGCATTTTCCAGCGACAAAGCCTGTCTTTTTTCCAAACCTACATATGTGGGAGATGACATTCATGGACTTTTTTATTTTCCGTATATTCTGTTTGTGTGTTATTTGGCATATTTGTCGTTTGGGACCTTTGTACAGATCCTCAGACTCATAAGAAGCTTCAATTTGAAATACTTTCGAAACTGATATTAGCTAGTACTAGCTAGTAGTAGAGATTGTAGAAAGTCAATGTCTACTCAAACAATGAAGTTGTAAACTTTTGAAAACTTCGTCTAGAAATTCTGCTTAAGAGGAACTAAAGGAGACACTTATCTACAGGTTCACCAGAAGTGCGACGATCTATTGTTATATTGTGCATTTAATAGCAAAGTTAAAAGTTGTTCAAACATGTTCACTCTAATAAAGACTTTCGATGGATTTTGCTGCGCGTTTAATTATGGAGCTCTTAATGAAGGTAGTATGGAGTAAGTACTTATATTTATATTTTAAAAGTACCAATTTGTTCTTACTTTGCCTGTAACTTTTTTCATTCTAACATATTATTTAAAAAATATATATAAATTTTGTAAGCCTCCTCTTCCTTTTATTATCTAACTGACTTCAAAAAAGGAGGACGTACTCATTTCTAAAAAAGAATGTAGGTATGTTAATTTTGTGTAATATACACGAAGTATCTTTGCCATCGGTAATCCGATTTTACGTTTATTTATTATGTTTATAGTTGATATAGTTTGTTAGGAAATATATCCAAAAAGGTTGACAGTAGCTGATGTGCATATTTTCCAGAGAATTTTTAAAAGATGATGACTTTGAATATTACATGGACCCCAGTGACGAGGACATGGCTACAAAGGGCATTCTTGTAACATCGGACTCTGGGAGGTATTTACAATTTTCGTATTGTATAATCTATATAAAAAGCGTATAAAGTAAATAATATAAAAAGTTTGAATTCAACATGAAACTTTTTATATGACTGTGAAATTGAACGCAATTAGGGTACAGGCAAAGAATAAATAGGTAATGTCCCTATGAAAAGATTATGAGAAAAATTAAGGTTCCGAAGTATAATATTTTTATAGAGAACAAAGTATGCAGTAACTTTTTACTAAGTAGATTTTTGGAGAATCCTCCTTCTTTACCCTATGTCATAGACATTCCCGGTTTTTTTTGCTTTGGGCATAGACAAAAATTTCTTTTTAGAGACATCCATTAAGTATTTGTAAAAAAAAATAGAACCAAACACAAAAAAAAATTGTGACATTCTCTGTCCTTTGGCTGTACTTTATATGTTTTTTGTATTTTAGTGTGATTATGTTTCTCTAACATATTTAATAAAAAGGTACTTTAATTATTGTTTTAGAGGCTCTGGCTTAACCGTGATACTTGATGTCGAACCAGACGAATATGACTATGGGTCAACTCTACCAGGTTACGGGGCTAAGGCTAGTAGGATATACATATATTTTAATGCTGCTTAAAAGTAATATTTTCATGTTAAAAAATATGTCTAAAATAACTTCACGAAATATTGATTGCAATCATTCATTATTATCTTTGTATGATATTTTTAACAAACATCTTCAATTAAATCTTATGAAGTTAATATAAAAAAAATCTCATCAGTAACGATTCACCCTCACACACACGCACACGCACACGCACCCGTACACGCACATGCACCCGCACCCGCACACGCACACGCACACGCACACGCACACGCGCACGCACACGCACACGCACACACACACACACACACACACACACACACGCACAGACTATGTTATATAATACAATAGTAGTGTAATTATAAAAATTAATATTTCCACCAGATACTAATAAACGATCCCGACGACTATCCAGAGAACACAGTTTTATACAAATATGCATTGATAGGAGAATCTCTAGACATCAAAGTCGACCCTATGCTGTTTCAAAGCGAAGAAGTTATTCGGAACGTTGAATTAAATAAGCGTGGGTGTATCTTTCACGATGAAATCTCACTATTACATACAGACAGATATAGCACCGAAGTCTGTTTGACTGAATGTAAGATGAGGAGTTATGCGAAATATTGTGGGTGCATACCTTATAAATATCCTAAAGGTAAGTTACTTTATTGAGGAAAATAATATAAGATTACTAATTTCGGCCATATATTAAAATTGATCAGACCATTGTCTATCATATTACAAACAAGTTACAAGACAAAGTACAAAATACTATAGTTTTTAGAAAAAGCTGTAGAAAAAGAACGTGCAAAAAAGATTTATAGACTTTGAAAGTTAAATAACCGAATTTGTTCATGATGTTTTATTTATATTAGGACTTTTAAACGTTATAATCTATTATAATGGTAAGATTGTAAGATTACTTGAGAAAAAAACAACCTCATAAAGTTAGATACTTTGGCTGTACTTGCAAGCATTCAACCATTTTTAACGTTCCATTGCTGAGCACGGACCTCCCTTCAATACGAGGGGGATCAGGCCATAGTCCACCACACTGGCCAAGTGTAGTCCGCCCACACTTGGCCAGTGTGGTGGACTATGGCACATGTCTTTCAAAAACTTGCTAGCTTCTCTCAGACATGCAGGTTTTCTCAAAATAATTTCCTTCACCGTAAGACAATCATGTTAGAAAGTATTCGCACAAAAAATTTCAGAGGTGCGAGACCTGGATTTGAACCCACTTCACTCGGTTTCCCAAGCGAGCAAGTTACTACAGGGCTTCCACTGCCTCTAACAAGCTCTTTCACTTCATTTGACTAAATGATAATTGTACTATAGATTTTCATTTAAGTTGAAAATTTTCGAGATAAAAGATTGAAACTACGTTACAATAAAATCACTTTTGTTTTACATTTTATTCAAAATGTTTAGCAAAAAATGTGTACTGTTATAATACTCTACAGAATTTGTAGTGAAGTACATGACTTATTTACACGTATTATTTCCCAACCGTATATTTATAGAACAGTAATTCTACATTGACGTCGAGAATCTTTTTGAAAGAAAATTACTAAAAGAAAAAGAAAACAATAAAGGAAACTGCCGTAATTTATAAGATATTAGAAAATCTCTGATTTTCACAATCTTTTATCCTAAATAGCTTTTATTGCGTACACTTTCTTACAGAAATACTTATACTATGTCCATTTCAAATACTTGCACAGAACGGAACTCGAACTTATGATCTGTGGCGTAGACACAAACCACTATGTCAAGTGATTATACCACACAAACAAACACACTTTCACATTTATAATATTAGCATGGATTATAAACTTGTTGTAGCTTTTATATAAGGTATTTTATTTATTTTGTATGTCTATTTATTTAAAAAAATTAAATCAATTTTCAAGCACTTGAGTTCAAAGGCTTCTTTGTATATAAATATTTAACTTACACGACAATAAATTATGTCACTTTTGATGTTGGGATAAGAACTTGATCTCTACCATCCACCTATTTTTACTTTGAGGGTCATACATATATTTGACCTGTATGTACATATACTGTATACATATTAGCTGCTTCGGTGGTCTAGTGGCTAGCATGTACGTCTACACATGCAGGCGGTCCTGGGTTCGAGTCCCGGGTCAGTATAGTTCCTGAGTCTTTCTGTTAAGAAAGTCCCAGTAACAGCTCGGTATTGGGAAGTTGGCGGCGTTTCACCTCCGTGCCTCGGAGAGCACGTAAAGCTGTCGGTGCTGCGCCTGCTATCTCACCGGTCATTTCGAATTATAGTTCCATCGGAATTTGAGGGTAACAGGAATAAACACTGCAGTTTTGTCTGCGCGTACAATATCTCCTGCACACATAGCTAGTCTCAGATTGGCCACCGTGGCCAAAATCTGCCATACTTTATCATGTACATTGTAAATTTGAGTTATGCAGTCGGAGACATTACTACTGCGAATCTTTTTACGCAATCCGTTTTTTGTTGTATTTATTTTTACAAAATATAATTTAATGTTTGTTTTTAACAAGACTTATTACATTTATGTGGGATTTGCGAAAACAATCTCGCAAAGTGTACGTGGAAAATGATTTCAGGGTAAAAAGAGACGTACTCGTATAATATGATTTTAAAAATAAAGTGGAATGAAAGATTGTATATTAAAAAAAGAAACGCGTTTAAACATAGTTTTCTGTGATTTTGATAAAATAAATAGTGGAAGTGTTATTAACTTCTTATTAGGGATCTTACGATTATTTGTTTCAACTTTTTTTTATTTTAATTAAATACATATGTTGGGACATTATTACATAACCATCTAGGTCCATGGTAAGCTACAAGGCTTGTGTTATGGATACTAGATGGTTGATACACTACACCTTTATAACTTTAAATGCATACATACTATAAATATATATAAACTCATGACTGGAGTACCTACATAATATATTCGTGCTAATCACACAAATGAACGCCCCCGATGGGACTCAAACCAGCGAACGCTAGCACAGAAAGTAGGGCGATTACAAACTGAGCCAAATGTGTCGTTATAATTAATTACACATACGACTTTAATGACATTATGATTTAAATTAAAATGGCACTTACATTTCTGTGACATTCTTTTTTAAGATCCTCTTTGTATTTGCTTTATTGTAGTTTCAATACTATTGTTTTATTAAAAACCTAGTCACTGACCCACGCTCCGCTCGATGTTCGTCCCTTTTGTACGTTTTAAGTGTTAGTAAAGGTTTTTTAGAAATGAAATAATATTTTAGCGTTGACCCGGATAACCAGCTCTCATCATACCTAATTTCATCAAAATCTGTCCAGTGGTTTTCTCGGAATGCGGTCACAAACAGACAGACAAAAATTCTAAAAACTATAGATTCGGCCTCTGTGTCGATGAAAATAATGACAATGAAATTTTCTAAAAAATATTTAATTTACAGATTCCACTTAGAATTTTATTATATGTATAGATTAAACTGAATTCTAATTTTTTTTATTAATATTTTAAAAGGGTTAATTATTTTTTAGGATGTTAGGAAACTTACATAATTATAGCTTTTTTATTACTATTCTTGTATAAATAAATTATAGGTACCTTAAATATATGCCATATTTACCTAGTTACCTCTATACCTACATTAAGTATATGCCATATGAGATGGTATATAAAGATGATATATGCTCATAATATCCGCTTATACTAAACATAAATATTATAGAACATAACATTTATAGAAGAGAAGTTAAAAAAAATATAAATAATAATTTTCCATACATCTTTTAGACCAGACCAGTCCAGAAGATCGTAAATAAATTTAATGTAATTAAACGACGACAAACGACAAAATCTGTTGGATCAGCTGGTAAATCGACAAAAAAACAATATTTCAATCAATTATCATAATCTTTTATGATTTATCTAATGTAATATATAAATATATCGGGTGATGGTATTTGTGGTCGCTCTCCTCCGAAACGGTTAGACCGATTTTAATTACTTTTTTGTATATTTGGTAGGTATGAGAGTAGATCGTAGAGTATTTTTACCCTCCTACCCCCAACCTCTATTTTTAATCGCGATCTTAGTATTTTTGTATGAACAATATAATATAAAAAACATGTATAACATAAAGCCAAAGAGATTTCTTTTAGTAGACTAAACGTGGGCGTAGCCGCGGGTTCTGCTAGTATAAATATATTAAATTACCGCACGTGTATTTAAAGCTTCTAGGTAGTTTATTCGCACGAATGCAGACTGGATCCTTAAAATAACATAATAAGAAAATAACTAAAACATACCAGTATCGACATCAGTTGTCTAACTTTTTAATTGAAAAGACGACAGGGCATTCCCCCGAGACATGATAAATGGGATTTTCAAAGGGATAGTCTTGGTATATAAGTTGGATGAAAGCGAGTGTGACTCAGTATAGTGTCCCTTACATTAAAACATTTGTTATGTTAAAAGTACGCAACTTGTTACTTTAAAAGTAAAGTAATATGATTACTTTTCTACAACATTCATTTTATTTAGAGCATAAATACATTTGTATTTTATAGTATTAGTATGAAAAACAAGGTTAGTTTAGCGACTGACCGAAAAATAACATATATCTCTACATATAATAAAATTGTAACTAAGTCCAATCTGTATATTAAATATTTTATAGTCAATCTTATTGAAATAGACATTATTATACAAGTAGATACAGAGACCGAATCTATAGTTTTTAGAATTTTTGTCTGTTTGTCTGTTACCGCATCACAGAAAAACCACACGAGGGATTTTGATGAAATTTGGTATGGTGATAGCTGGTTATCCGGGTCAACATATAGGATACTTTTTACTGCGGGATAATATCTCATTTCTGAAAAAAAGTACAAAAAGTACATTGTAAGAGTATACTTAATATGTAAAACCTAAGAATTTGCTTTTTGGTCATCTGAACGCGGGCGGAGCCTCGCGCAACGCTAGTATTAGATATATATATCTTATTAGACATAT